ATTCAGCAATTTGGGAAGATTTATGTTTCAATATAATTTCCTTTATATACACAGCCAGAGCTTCCTCCTGGAGAGATTTTTTAAGGTTAAAATGCAACACTGGCAGGTGAAATTTTAAAACAAGATGAATGAAGGAAGATCATTCCTCACTCTTATGAAAAGACACCAACCCCTCCTTTAGAGTTAAGCCTCTCTGTGCCTCACCTCTCCTTGCCTTTGTCTACGTCACTAGAACACTGTCTTCAATTCAAGGCGCTTTTATTGCCTGCTTACAACGTGGGAGACACAGAGAGTGAGAAAACACAATCCCTGCCTAAATTTAAGGACAACACAATTTCATAATAGAATCCTGCTAGACATGTAATGAGCTATTAACCACCATCGCAAGGCAGTATCAAAGCTGATTAAATGACATACGGATGGAGACAGAGCTGGAAGTGGACCCTGAATAGTTGGTAGAATCTGAAAGGGGTGGTGTGGGCAGTAGGTGAAAAAGCACAGGGGTGGCATTGTCCAAAGTATGATTTAAGAGAACATGCTGGCTTCAGTACATTGGGGTGAATTTTAGTCAGAGTGGGGCCAGACTGAGATCTCTATTTGGGTAAGACAGTTTGGTTAAGACATCTGATACTAGAAATCAACTTGAGCAGGTTAACCTATATAACATGGTGGGGAGAGCCCAGAGTCAGGTGGCTTAGTGTGAACCCTGATTTCACACATTGCTGGCTGTACGACCATGAGCAAGTTGCTTAATTTCCTGTTCCTCAGTTTTCTAATATGTAAAATGAGATAATGCACATAACTGTTAGGAAGATTACACAAGATAATTTATATAAAGGGATTAGAATGCTACCTGGCACATACTAAATGCTCAGGAAGTTTTAGCTTTTCACTTTCTCTTTTATAACCTTCTGTATGGGCTGAAATTTTTTTAGATGAGTGGAATTTTACAATCATAAAAAACAATAAGGCTTTATTTTTAAAAGTTCAACACAGGTCACCCCTAGGGAGTTTCAGTGCTCTGAAGACTCCTGTGTTCACATGAATGTCCAATTTAAAAAGGTAGTATTTCAGGCTCTTATAATTCTGAAGGAAAAAGGGTCATTCCAATTTCACAAATGAGTAACTGGTCAGCCAACTTGGAATCATCTGAACACCACATGGTAATTCCAGAGGAGAAATTTGGTGATTTGGGTTACTTGTCTTAGGGAGAAAAATACTTGAATAAATAATTGCAATGAAACTATTTCTTTCAACCATTGTAAGAGTGTATGCAAATGGACATTTTTGGAAAGTAATCCAGTATGACTAATCTTTTTTCCCCCCTAAACATCGATTTGTTGTTCCATTTATGTTTGTATTCATTGGTTGATTCTTGTATGTGCCCTGACTGGGGATCAAACCCACAACTTCGGCATATCTCGAGGATACTCTAACCAACTGAGCTACCCAGCCAGACATATTACTTACCTTTTGATATATTTGTTGACCTAGCAAGTCTCACCAAAGATATCTACTATGTAGAAATGAAGGCACCGATATGAGAATAGATGTACAAAAATATTTATTGCAGCATCATTTGTAGTTGAAAAAACTGGAAGCAACCTTATATGTATCACAAAGAAAATGGCTGGCTAAATTATAGTATATCCATACTGTGGAATATTAGACACCCAAGGAATAAATTAGACATACGCATGTACCAGGAGGGATATTCATGATATATTAAGTGACAAGGGAAAAGTATAGAGTGATATGTGTGCTATGGTTTCATTTTTGTTAAAACAAAAACAACCCCAAACAAAAAATAACTTTGTGTATATTTGTATTAAAATGGAGAAATGTGTAGACGGTCATACAGGAAGCTATTAACATGGATTCCTCAGGGCCATGGTAACTATATGTCTACAGTCTGACTTGCTAAAATGAACATGTATTGCTTTTGCAACTTTTAATATATGTATGTATAGTAAGGTGGGGTGAATTTGGTGGGGAAATTAGTAGGAAGACCAAGACTGAGAAGAAATCACTGAGCTGCATTAAATGAATCCTAGTACCCAGACCATGAGTTACCATCTTGCTTTAAAAAGACCTACTAAAAAAATAAATGTTATCAAGGGGTGACTGGGGTCTTTGTTAGCTTTCCCTTTTTCCTAACCCCACACACATCCCACCTGCTTAGCCAGGCTTCCGAAAGTGAGGGCCTTGTATCCTACACGAGGCAAGGCGGCTGAAGGTAGGACATAGGCCCAGCGTTAAATAACATTAAATCTCATGGCTCCATTGCTATTCATGTTTTATATTTCTTTTCCACCCACTGATTACATGTAGAAGAAAGTCCTTGGCATTGACAAATGTTTGACATCTCTCTCATCCTTGCTAATCTTCCCTTTTTAATAAGGGCAAGCAGGCTTACGATGTAGAGCCTTCCGCAAGCCACAATATCTAGTGGGAAGCTTAAACACTGTTACGCTCTCACTGCAGTTTTTCTTAGGATTCATTTATGATAAGAAAAACTGGTTTATCATTTACGGTAATGATCTCAAATTTCTGATGGGGAGCAAAATAACGTGAAAGAGAGTCTAAAAGCACTTTAAAGTAAGAATACATTAGCCAAGAAACACAGGGCTGTGTCCAAAAGCAAAGCAGCAAGGATGCGGACAGGAAAATTGCGGGTCAGCGCAGCCTAACAGCAGTCAGCATCGGCGCCGGAGCCCAGCCGTGGTCACAGGCGCCCGCATGGAGCAGAGAAAAGTAAGAACAATGTGCTAAGTGATGTCTCAAAGGATGGCAACCATGTGACATAACATGGAGCTGAGCAAACAGGAAATGCAGCCTAATATAGCTCAGGGTAAGAATTCTCTAGGGAGGCTCTTGCCAGGAACCTGGGTGAGTGAAGGGAGGGAGTAAAGAAAAGAGAGGGTTTGGGTTTTGGAAGAAAAAAAAAGAATTCCAAGGCTGCACATTGGAGGCCATCTAGGTTCTTCAGACAGGTTATTCTCCTACTGACTGCGGTGGACAGTGCAGAAAATAAAGCGTGTGTGTGTGAGTATTGTGAAAAATAATGGAAATGGAGCCGCTTTAAAATGGAGTTCGAGTTGCCATCCCAAAGAACTGCTTTGTACGTCTTATTCCTCAAACTTTTGGAAAGTTAAACTGGACACAATAACCTTTGGACTGGGCCTAAAGCAGCATTATATCCCAAACAACTGTTTGGAAACGTAACACGCAAGCAGACATTATGACCACAGGACATTCTTTAGAATTAGCATCACTGTGTTAGCTTATCTGCATTTATAGAAACTCCTTCCCCCTGTTCATGGAATTTCCCCCCTTCCCTTTCTTATAAATGCCCCTGGCCTTCGTCTCCTAGGAACTCTATCTGGGTTTCTGCCTGAAGCAGTGCTTCCTGGATAGCTATTCCTTTGGATCACAAATAAATGCTTGTTGCCCCTCACTCTGGTTTTATTTTTAGATTACCAGCATTCACACTGCATCACCTGTCCCTTTGGTTGCATTTCCATGGCCTGGAGAAAGGCCTAAGTTCTCTCTCCTGGTGATCTGGGTGACTTGGCTCAAATGGAACAACTGTAGCCTGTTACTTATATCAGTTGCCCTGCCTTTACTATGGAGAGTGAATCAGCAAATCAGCAGTTTCCTTTAAAAGCACACTTATGTAGGTTTTTATTTTAAAAAGCCTTGAACAGATATTTGCACACCCATGTTCACAGCAGCGTTATTCACGATCGCCAAAAGGTAGAAACTACCCAAATGCTCACTGATGGACGAACCAATAAACTAAATGTGGTGTATGCATACAATGGAATATCAGCTACCCTTAAAAAGGAAAGACATTCTGACACATGCCACAACATGGATAAACATTGAAAACATTATGCTAAGTGAAATAAGCCAGTACAAAGGGACAGATATCGTGTGATTGTATGAGGTACCTAGAATAGTAGACTGCACAGAGGCAGAAAGTAGAATAGTGGTTATCAGGGGCTGGGTGGAGGGCCAGTGGGAGTTATTATTTAATGGGCACAGAGTTTCAGTGTGGAGTAATAAAAAACAAGTTCTGAAGATAAATCATGGTGATGGTTGCACAACAGTGCCAATATGCTTAAAACCACTGAATTGTTGTTCATTCAAAAGTTATTAAAATTATTTTTAAAGAATTAATTTAAAGGAAACCATTAAGTTTAGAAGAATCCAGGTGGTACCTGACTATAGAGAAAATGGTGAAGGTGTGGGCCAGACCTCTCTGTTTGTTCCCCACCCCCACCCATCCATTCTCCACCCTTCTCTGCCCTGCTTTCCCTCCTGAGCCACATCACTGTGCCTCCTGCCTTCCAGCTTCTAGTTGTAGTCACTCGATGGGGAGCACTAGCAGGGGAATGAGGGAGGAAAGAATAGTGAGGTTGGAGACTCCTGTTTCCCTGGCTCCCTCCCTGCAATATTGCTGCGTGGTGACTGTCCCTTGACTGAAGGTCTCGCAGCCCACGCTGGCTCCAGGTTCTGGTGCTCCTTCCACTTGCCTCCTTAGACCCAGGGCAGTAGCAGCTCTCCCTGCTGCTAGCCTTGGAACTGCACTATCCCATGTGGTTTCCTCACTTCCTGCTAACACCTCTGTAAATAGTCCTTTGATTGAATTCCCCTCAAATTACCCAATTTGAGTGCAGCATCTGTTTCTTGCTAAGCTGTGGCTGATACAAGGTTATTTAAAAAGATGAAAGTTTGGGAAACACTGATACAAAGAAAATCTACCTATATTCCCCCAAGATCTCTCTGACCCCACCAAACCTTCCAGATATGGTAAGGGAGGTGAATGGCAGCATCTTCTGCCCCTCCCCTCATCCCCTCTCTTGTTCCAAGTACTTCTTTCCAATTGCTATTTTAATGTAGAGAACTCAGCATCTACTGTTTTCTCCAATCCCACAGACTGTAAATCACATTTTTTGGTATGTAACAGAATTCCATCCCAATACAACAATAAATGATTCATATGTTCCATGGAGTTTTATTTTTGATAAAAGTACTTTTCCTGTATATGTTTCTATTGAATCCTTGGTACAGATGCACAAGGATATGGAGTAACTGCTCTTAAGTATGAGTAGGAAAGCTGAAATGATATCTACATAAGGCTCTTCAAATTGGCATGGAGATAAAAATAGCTGTGTAAAATAAGCTATCTTTCCCTTCCAAAGTGGTGAATTATGAAGAAAATAACCAAGAGTTTTGCTTTCCTTTTTAGTAGTAATGGCCTAGAATAAGTTGAAACCCTCCTCTCTGAAATCCAGGGAAATGTGTCCTGCCAAGGTTTATACTATACACACGTGATGTTGAGGTCACGACAAACGGTCACATCTGCTTGTAAGTTCACTGCCTCAGGTAGGCAGACCATCTTTTTACTGCAAGAGAAGAGCAACAAGAAGGTATGTGCTCAGGGTAGGTTCCTTTTGGTCAGGAGAGAGGGTTAGGAGCTCTTGTGTTTTCATGATATCAGGTGAAAGAAGTCTACAGTTGTCTACTACAGGAGCCTACTGTCCTCCAAGGGTTTGGGGTGGTAAGGCTAATAATATAAAGGCCTGCTAGAAACAGGGTAAAGGGGATAGGGAATCTCAATCCACACCCATGAATTGACCAGTGGATGCTAAGAAGGAGGAAAAATGCAATTAAAATTTTTTATTCCAATAAAATCTTATATAGAAACCAAATAAGACAGATACAGATGGATGGATGGATGGATGGATGGATGGATGGATGGATGGATGGATGGATGGGAGGGAAGGAGGAGGGAGGGAGGGGGACCATGACTAATAGATGATGGATGGATGGATAGGTAGGAGGATGGATGACAGGCAGATAGAAGAAGGGAAGGAGGGGAGATAAGGGATGGATAGATTGATAGAGAAACAGAAACTATCTGACATTCCAAAGTTCCAGCGATACGGACGTGTCCAGAGTTCCCCAACAGGCATAATGGTTTTCAGGAAGGAAGATAGTGCTTCTGGAAACTGAGGCCAGCAACCTGTGTCCAGGAACGGGCCTTGAGCTCTCTGGCTGCCTTCTGTCAAGCTAACAAGGAGGAGCTGAGCCGCCAAAGAGAAAGGGTAACTCCCGGACTTCTGCAGATGCGAACCCGGGGGACTCAGTAAACAAGGCCTCCGGGGCCAGCTTGTGAGGCCTGGAAGGCCGTCCAGGGAGAGCGCCGTCTGGGCAGGGGCCTGCCCCGAGCAGAAACACATATGCTCTAGGGTCAGGGATGTCTGGTCTGGGCGGCCCCCTGCCTTTGCTCTCCACACCACCTGGCTCCTTTCCAAGGCCCCCTTCTTCCTGGGTCGTTCCCACCACACCGGGTGCCTCTTCCTTTACTGAACTCAGCACAGCCTCGCAGGCCTCCGTTAAAGCTGGAGGAGGGCAGC